GCTAGAAACTCCCTCGGTTCTAGCAGGTGCTGCAGAATGTGTCTCTGTCTTTCAGGTGGATGGCTGAAGACTGGAATCCCTGCAGCAAAACGTGTGGGAAACTGGGATTCCAGTCACGAGTAGTGCAGTGTGTTCAGGCACTGCACAATGGCACGAACCGCACAGTCCACACTAAGTACTGCACTGAGGAACGTCCTGAGACACGCAGACCCTGCAGCCGCTCTCCCTGTCCTGCACAGTGGAGAACAGGAGCCTGGTCTCAGGTGGGTTTTTGGCTCTAATTGGAAGGATACAGACAAGAAGCTACAATAAGCAAAACGGGCCAAAGCATGATCTCATCTCTAATAAACCCCAGTCAAAGCATTGCAGTCCGCCTGAATGAAAGTGGGCTGTCACATAAAAAAGTTCCAGTTTCCAGGTATACAAAAATGTAGCACCAAGGGATGAAGCACTGTTCTTTTATATGGGATGTACTGTATGAAATCAAGAAACAGAAAATGAAACATTTTTCCTCCTACACAAGTGCACTTCGTGAGTACACACATCTAAACATCATTGATCAAACAGCTGCCCAGAGTCTCCCGTGACTTTTCTATTTGTGATCAAACCATCAGAAGATTGTTAATAATAATGACGATGATAATAATAATAATAATTAAATATGGAATAGTCTCTCATTCATAAGTGAAGTTACAGACTAAATGTTCCTGTCTCTTATTTTTGCAGTGCTCTGTGAGTTGTGGTGAGGGAATTCAACAGCGGCAGGTTGTGTGCAGATCTACCGATAACAGCATAGGGCACTGTGAGGGGCCGAAGCCAGAAACAGTGCTCATCTGTAAACTGGAGTCCTGTCCAGGTAAAAGAGGAAAACGTAGTTAGAGGTGTCTGAAAGGCTAAGGACTGTTTGTTAGATTTTAGCACACCCCTCTTTAAACAAAGGTTAGGACATGGGTTGGGTTTGGAAATAAATAAATCATGTTAATAAATAATTTATTCGGTACTATACTGAAATGATGTTTTTTGTGGTATTTTTCCTAATAATCATGCTCCTCAACATTTTTAATGGTATGCTATGTGCAAGATTGATGGGGAAATTCTGTTTGTCAGCTCCTGGGAAATGCAAAGTTGTTTAAAAAACAGCTGTTTCCAGCACTATTTATATTTATTAAAAGATGATGCCAGAGGTAAAAAATTCTGAATTTTAAGAACAGGAGGGTAATTTTACTTTCATCCTTATGCTTCAGAAAGAAAATATTTGTTTAAATCCTACGATTTAAAACTTACCTGCTTTAAAAAATAGCAGGACATAAAGTAGACAATTCAAATTGAGATTAATGTATTGATGACCATCTCTGGCTATGAAGAAGCCTGAGTCATTTGTTCATCTAAGCTCTGCGTTTGCAGATTTTAATTTTGTCCTTGTGCTGCCAGTTACTTTCCTGTTCATCTTGGACAGAGGACTTTGTATTTGCAGGATCTGATGTAGTTCTTGCTTTTGTGTGCCGCCCGCTGATTTTATCATTGTTTCTGCTGTGTATAAGCCTTAATTGATGGCCTCAGACCATGTCCTTCTTGGTAGGGTGGGATCTAGTCTTTCTGGGAGTGTCCTTTGTTGTCAGCAGTGGAATGAAGAGGGAGTTCTATGAACTTGAATGGGAAAAGGAAACAGTAGCTCTTTTAATGAAGTGAAATGAAAGACAACTTGTGATCTTGTGCTAAAATGTCCTGAAACGTGAATGCAAGTTTCTTCTGGCATAGCAATACCCATTTTCCAACAGTACGAATGAGACAGGCTGATTTTTTTTCCTGCCTCGTTAGAGTTATTACCCAGTAACTGAAGCCTTTGAAAAGTACCTATTTAAAGCAAAAGAACAGCTTCTAAAATTATGATCACTAGTGTATGGCTTGTGACCAGGTGTCCTTTATGGTGGTTTCTGAGATAAATACAGAAAGAAACTGATCTACATCATTGTTTCCTTCAATGTTATAGGGAAATCAGTGTTACCCTCCACAAGCATGGAAACTGTGGAGAATGTGACCCCAAAGGTACAATGGGTATCTCAGATCGCTCCAGAAAGCCCTGTTAATAAAATTTCTACAAGTAAGTATTCAGAAATATGAATGTAAGAATGCTGAAAACATCATTGTGATCATACTTTTTATTGTGGTTTTATTTTGTTAGTACTGTTCACCTATTTCTGTGTCCTAACTAGGGTTAATTGATTTGAATAATTAATATTTAAATACTTTTAATAGGAAAATTACATAGAGAATTGGACCTCAGTCTGGTGGTGAAAGCAGCTTGTGTTATCAGTTTGATTTATCCAGACACATTTTCATGTTTTTTTCTTTCTTATTTCAAGGCTATGTTAATATTGAAGTATCTCAGGTTTGTGTGAAGACAAGCCAAGTTACACCCACATCACAGACTACATTTGCACTTGCTCTTTGTACATCCCTCTTTGAGACATGCATACTGTATAATGGCCCACACTTTGTGTGGTTACGAAAATCAGGCACCAATTGGTTTTTCCTCACTGAGCTATTTTTATAGAAAGATTAGGACCCGAAGTTGTAGACTACATCTAGTGTTCAGATGTAGTATGGTCCTGCATTTGACACATAGTTGCAGAGTTGTTTTTCTAATGCTTAGTTCAGCAGAATCTTGCTTCAAAAAGAGTTTGGGTATGGCTCTGTAATTTTGAAGGGATTGAAGGGATTCAGTAGAATGCACAATGTTAACCTACATACAGAGACTTTTCAACCAGTGCAAATAAGCATTTATATTTTACAGTAATGCTTTTTTCTCATGTTTGTCTTGTCAGATTAGAAATGTAAGTAGTCAGTAGGGGCTCTGCTAAAGAATTTAGTAAACCATTTACACATTACAAAATAAAGATATCACTAAATATCCTTCAGTGAATGGAAATCTAAGGTATGCTTGCCAGCTTTGGAAAGAGAAACAGCACCAAATCCTTAAATTTACTGCAGATTAGGAAAATGCTTTATTTGTAAATAAAATACTTGATTACAGATTTGCTGTATAGGGAAAGCATTATGCTTTTTTAGGAACACCCAATGCAATACCTTAATGCTAACTAGACGTAATGGTTTAAAATCTTAAGATCCATTCTCTAAAGATTGAGGCTAACTAGTGCAAACTACAGTTTGGACAGGATCTTTTAGCAGCACATAAGGACACAGATTTCAAAGGCTAGACCCGCCGCAGCAGTTTTCCGACTACTGACTGACTTGTTGGTTCTCTCAGATGAGCCGTGCCTTGGTGATAAATCCATCTTCTGCCAGATGGAGGTCCTGGCTCGCTACTGCTCCATTCCGGGCTACAACAAGCTGTGCTGCGAGTCCTGTAACAAGCAAGTAGCTGGAACTACGCTGCCACCCGGTTTTGACAAAGCTACTTCTGCACTGGGGGATTTGGGGACCACCACCGCCCAGCCCAGCCCTCTCCCCTCGCCGGAAATGGTCGGCCCCATGGCACAGAGCCGACCTCCCACGACCAAAGCTGCTGCTAGGAAACTGAAAGCTAAGTCGCCCGCCCCCACCGTCGATCCCGGGAGTCTCAGGCCCGCCGGCCCCTCGGCGGCGAGCTCCCCGGCTCGCTCTCAGGGCACCGCTGGCAACGCGTCGCCGCTGGGGCAGGAGGACCCGGGAGACGCGGCCACTCTACCTCCAGGCCACAGAACGGCAGGGGCGGGTGCCGAGCGTGCCCCCGAAGCCGCCGCCGCCGCCCCGCGGAGGCCTGCCTCAGACCCAAGCAGAAACACGCCTGGCAAAAACAGCCGAAACAGCACTGCAGGCGCCTCAGGGTTACCCAGATCAAGAAGGGATGGCTTGGGATCTGAGAGGGACCTGACGCACAGAACCATGCCCGTGGTGACATGAACAGGGACACCCTCCGTGGCTGTGCCAAACCACAATGCCCTCACATTCAGAAGCTAACAGTTTTGAACTTTGTATTCATTTGTTTGATGCTGAGGCCCGTTTTGCAACCGGTTGGCTGAAAGAATTGTTGTTGTACAAATGGACTTTCACCAGTAGTGGTTATACCTCAAAACTGGTCAATTTCATGCACAAATCCTGCATTACAGAAAATCCTCTGCTCAAAATGAGAAACGGAAGGACAAAACTCAAGGTGCTATAATCTCAAAGGACTACGAGACAGGCTAACAATGTCTTGGATCAGTGGACAAGTGTCTTAACATATTATTTAAGTGCATCAGAACTACTGTTGTACTGATTTTGTGAAGATATGAGGTATTAACTAAATACCTTATATGGGCGCTGTGATTTGCAGAACTTGACACTGAATAGGGACTACGTATATAAATCCTTGTTTTAGTGGTCAATTGTTAACACGCTCCTAAAAATCAGTTTCCAAAATTTATTTTCCCAAAGAATGATTTTAATTGGAACACATTGCTGCCCAGCTATCTATGGTAACACATCACTCTCACATTCTATAAAATACGAATTACCTTTGTGAAACTTTGTGAAACTACATATACAGTACTTGTGTTAAATTCAAATTGTTTTTTTAATAACTTGATATATTTTCAAGTAATGTATATATTGTAAATGTCAGCATCCTATAAAAATGAACAGGAAACCATGTAGAATAAAGTGTACTGTAATGGAAAGGAAGAGAAACTAGATTTAGATCATGTGAGTCTGAAAAGGAGAGGGCCCTGATGCTGCTCAGTGTGTTTCCTTCCTGACTTGCATTCGTTAACTCCATGACGTGTTGTATAGTTCTTGTATATACGTGAATGAGAGCTTTAAATGTTAATATTTATTAAATTGTGAAATGTTAGGAAAATATAAAAAGTGCATTCAAAAATATTTGAAAATGAATCCAGTTTGTTACTGTACCATCACAGTGATGGTGAAACGTGTTGTAGCCTATCCAAAAGTCATGGCAAAGCCCTAGACACAGACTTCACTGAGTGACAGAGACCATTATTATATGATGTCTCTGTGGAACCTTAACATTCTTGAATGCTAAACAATGGTGTAGTTGAGTATTGTGACATATACATTGTATTCCACAGGGAAGGTTTTGTTTTGTACTGGTATTTTGTATCCAGATAGCACAGCGATCTGTATATTTATTTCTGATCATGTTTTTACAGCAGTAGCAATAACAGTGGTGCTTTATTGTGAAGAGAATATGCTTCTTCAGAAAATGAAACACTGGCACACATTTCTACACACTTTCCATCAGGAGCATACATATTTAAGAGTGTAACTGTCATTACACAACTGTGAGTAAAAACATTACTGTTTTCACAAGAACAATGAGATTGTGTCTGCAATCTGTAGTTTACTTTATACACTACTTTGTGGTGTGTTACAAATGTCAATATATATTTTATTACAGCTCTAAAAATGTGAAAAAAATTGGCTTTAATAACTTCGGATGTATTCCCAAGACCTCAGTTTTAATAATGGAATAACAGATGTTTATTAAGAAATAAAATGTCTTTGATTTGAATGTAATCTCATCTGCAGTTGTTTGCTTCTGCCTGGTTCTATCAATATGCTGTGTAAAGTACATGAACTATTTTTTCTTTCTGCAAAAGAAAATATTTAAAAGCATACATATAGAGTACAAAAGAGTACAGGTTTCTTTGCTAAACAGTTTCTCATGTCAGAAAGTATTTGCATTCATTGAAAAATGGAACTCAAGATAAAGGACAAATTGGTTTATTGGAGTATGACATGTTTTGTAGATAAATATGCATTTTTAGTACTAAAAAATGAACTAAAACTAGAATAAACTATAAAACTAGTATTCTTAAATGTTTTCATGGTCTTAGATGTACAGTAACAAGCAGAGCAAGTCTCAAAACATTTCCTGGAAAAATTAATGATCAAAGACCATTGATCAGTTTCATAGCCATTTGCTGTCATGCAGATGGTGGCAACAAAGCAATGATGTATTTACCTGATTTACTGATAACAATTTGACACACCTAATGATGCAACAGTTAGCTGAGATGTACAGTACCAGCAGTAAAGCTCCTACAGCCAACAGTTAGAAAATACAAGAAGAAACATTAGACTTTGAGGTCTGTGTTGCCATAGTATCCTTTCCTATTAAAATAAATACATATTTGAGGCTTTATTTTCAATCACCTCTGAGGGAACTGGCATAATTTTCAGTTTAACCACAATCACTCGGTTGCCTCTCAGTCTCTGCTTGTACAACCTGATCTTCTTTAGCTCTCTGAAGTGCTACAGTAGTTGTGCGCACAGAGCAGCTGGGCCAGAGAAGCAGGTTGATGTGGAACAGCTGTAGAGTCCAACAGTCTTTCCTCAAGCATCTTCATCAGCTACGCCTCGATCCGTGTGTGTCAGTGCTGCAGGGGGACCAGCCTTGCTGACAGCCGTTTGCGTAAATGTTTTGTAAAATCAGCCTGGGCTTGCGGCAAAACCTGATTGACGATGGACTTTGGTAGCCAGCCCTGAAACAAGCAACACAATGATATGTTTTAATACATACTCTTGTGGATATTGTGTCAGTTCATAGAGAAACCAAAGGAACACACAGCTAACACATATCTATTGTCTAACTGCTTCATACAATTCAGGGTCATGGTGACCTGGAACCTAATCCAGGGAGTATCGCACACAAGGCGTGATACACCATGGACAGGCCACTCATCCATCGCTGGGAACACAGATGCAACTGGGCCAATTTTAACCTACCTGTCTTTGGATTGTGAGAGGAAACCCACACAAACACAGGGAGTATACACAGTATAAACTACAGTAGCATCCCACAAATTGAACCCAGGGCCCTGCAGCTGCAAAACTGACCACTGTGCCACTGTGCCAGCCTGCAGCTAACATTCAGTACCAAAGGAAAAGCAAAGCCCTCAACATAAAGTGTTTAAAGAGAGATTAAAAGCTTATCTGAAGTTGAAGCTGTCTCAGCACAGATACCATGCTCAAATCACAGAAATCCCCAATAAAAAGGGAAGTCGGTGCTGATTAGGTAGTGGCAGTTACATGAGGACAGACCACATAGTCATTTCAGGAAGGGCAGCAGGATAAGGAAAAGCCAAAGGGAAACAGAGTCTGGAGTCTTCAGTTTCCACATGAACAAAGAGACAGTATAGAGCTCTCCACAGGCTGCATAATGAGGATGTGTGACCCGGAGTTCAACCCGGGAGGTAGAGGAGATCTAAAGTGGCCAGAACAGGAGGCAATGGATCAGAGAATTGAGGGCCAATGTAGGGAAGAGAGCCATTGAGGTGGTTTCAAACATTGTTTCCAAGTCCTCCTAGGTCTCGGAAGCCACTCTTTAATGAAAAGAACATCTAAACAAAGGGTGCATTAAATCTTAATTCAGTGCATCTCTTTAAGGCCTGTGCAAGGACAAAAGTACCTTGGAGAGAGTAAGTAAATAAGTTGTGAACCTGCTGGGGGCCAGTCCCTGAGAGATTATATTCAGTGCAATGCAGTGAATCCAATAGAATGTCAAATGCAAGCAAGCACTGCAAACATCACAATGTGGACTTAATATTTCCTCTCATGCTTTGTTTTCTGTATCCTACAATAACTGGTGTAGGTCAGGCGGATAGAGCGGACGTGGTTCATGACATGCTTTAGATTGCACCTCAGCAAAAAGGTTGGTGGGAATGTATCCTTGGTGGGAATATGTTTATAAGCAACCACATATATACTGCCATACGAGATGCTCTCGGGCAGTGGAATCTTTGAGGGATGTGTGGGTTTGGTGAAATTGTTTCGTTTTTCACAGTCTTGTTATTTCAAAAGTCCACATTTGAAGTTCTTGCTGTGTGCACAGAGCTGCTGTGATTTGATTGATTGCATTGATTTTGTTTTCACTCTCACTGAGTGCATGTTTCATCAACAGCAATTGATTCCAATATGACACGTGTGAGCTTATCTAAGCTGGAGTGTAAGTAAGAAGTGGCAGGCATATTACTTTGAAGAAAATGTTTGTTTTAACATGAACAATTTAACTTCTATAGGAAACGATTTTGCATATAATGCTAACCAAATATGACCAGAACTATTCAGGAATCAAAAAGAACATGTTGGATGGGTTGATGTAGCCAGTTTATAAAAGGAAACAAACTCTGTGCATTTTTCTTTGCAATACTTTAAGTGTCAAGACAGATCAAAATAATATTTAAAGCTGATTTTTGAAGGTGTAGATCTGCAAAGTAAGATCATCTTGCCTTGAGATCCATATTAAGAAGCCATGTGAGCTGACATTTCTTCTTTTCCTCCCCAAGTGGCTGTAGGATAATGCACATAGGTCCATCTTGAGCTCTAGAGGAGAAGGCAGAATACATTTGTTAGTATTTTATTGAAATTATCTTCAATTGGACATTCAACAGTATCCTAATCCATAAGTCAATAATTCACATGGAAATGTTATTATGACCTCTCATTATGTACAATAACTTTTTTTAAAATTTAGAATCACCAACATTTTGTAACCACCCAATTTGGAATTGTCAGTTGTGTGTTTTTCATGTCTCAGCTCTCAGCTATAATCTGCTATACATAGAGGAGAATGAGGAAGTGTAGACAGACACCTCCAACCTGCCCACTTTTCAAGTCAGTCATCTTTTAACATCACACCCAAGTTTGTCCAACGCTGTAGGCTCAGAGCCAACTGGAGGAGAGGCAAAGACCAATCCTGACTAATCCCACCTTACCCTTAATTGCACTCAGCTAATTGTGCACAACCTCTTGTGGGGAAATCATGGTCACAGTCCACTAACGACTTGACTCGAACCAGCGATCCTGAAGGTCAGCCTGGACAAATGCCTTTACTGGATAGTACAATTTTTTTTTTTATTTTGAGAAATTGAAAACTTTAAATGCCAAATAACACCCTTTAAAAAATAAAAGAGTGAGTTAAAATCACCAAACGAAACAATTAAGCCACTTTGGGGAATGCTTAAAGAGGACTATTTGTATATCTGTAGCACATTTATAAAAAATAATGGTAATCTGAAGTATTATTTAATAGTAAATAAAAAAAGTGTTGATTACCATTGTTACTTTTAATCTTTCAGTGCACTGAAACGCACTGAGACTTCTTTTCTCTCGAGGTTCGCAATGTGTGCATCTAAAACATATCTGACCCGTACCTGACAAACCCCTTCTGAGGCGGGAAGGCTTCTAGATGCGTGGCAGCTCCAGCTAAATAAATACAGGACTTCTGTTTGCAGCAGTGTCTGACGCTCACAAAATCCCTCTGGCCCACAAGATTTCCTGCTGTCTCAGCTGAAACCTCATGCGTAACCATGGTGTCCTGTCCAATGTGCTTTAATATCTAAAAAGCAAATTGCAATATTATTCCCTGTACTGCAGTGTGTACCCCTATTTGCTTTCCTACTTGTAATTAGTGTTATTGTTAGAAGACATTTCTGTGGTATTGGCACTGATTGAAGAGGATTCAGCATTTTTTATTGCAATACCTTGTACAGAGGACACAATGCTTGTGGTGGTGAGCTTCTAAACCCAGACAAAGTTGTTCTGATTGGAAAACGACAACACTGGGAAACGTACTTTGATTTGTTTGACATCAGGGTTCCACTGATTCATTTCCTCCACTTTCACAAACAGGTCATCATAAAGTTCCTCAGGGGTGGCATCTAGGACTGCTTCCAGTCTGAATACCTTTCCTGTTCCAGGAAGGGTTTTACTCAGAACCACATCACCGCTTTCCTACACAAGGAAAAGGGACAGGAGTACATAATAAAACACGGTACAAACAAATGGGAAATCTGAAAAAATTCTGAATAACTTCCACTGCCACAGTGCAAGACAGTGCTTTCAAGACATTCTAGATCAGGGATCTCCAACCTTGCACCTGTAGAGCTCCAATAAAGTAAGTCTTATAGGATGCCCTAAGCCATTTCCTCCAATTTATTCTAAAGGGCATGAACATCTATACATAATTTATCAATTATGCATGTAATTGCTTCAATTAAAGATATTCTGGACCTTGAGGGATGAAGGATATTTTGATTTATGTTCCAATTCATCTCTAAATTTGGAAACCTAAGACATCGTCTGATCAAATGACCAGAGTTCAATTGTCCAAAGGAAAATGGATTATTTAACGGTTAACTAAAAAAATCTGCTGGATTGTGGCAGACCTCTGTTCTAGATGAATAAATAAGAAGCCGATGGCCAAATTAATGAAGCAAGAGATGTTTATCCCTGTCCAATAACTGTGTATTTAATTTAAACTAAGTGAATTTGGTTAATCTTTCACTGTATTACATATACAGTATGTTGCTTATAAATCAAGATAGCCTAGCCTTACATGACACTCCAATTTCGGACTATTTTTTGCCATTGAGATGAGGCGAATATATTTAGTGAAGCAATAATTTGGCATTTAGAATAAACAACATGCAGAAATACATTGGATATAAAAGGCCTTGTGGAAGTTCCTGGTTGGGTGTTTGGAATTTAAGTGGGTGTAAATTGTTCACCTCAAGAACAGATTGCTGCTTTTTACCCCACACTGTCTGTATAAATGTCATAAGCTACATATGATTATATTCTTGCTGCTGCATTATTTTTGGTTTAAATTTTACGATGTGCTTCAAGCTTTATTAATGCTTTCATTTGATTATTTTGTTATTTTATTGAATTGGCTGATTATTATATCTGTTTAATTATTGAAGTAAAAAATATTTTACTTATTATTATTTACTTATCATTAAAGTAAACATTGTGTCCATTTTAAAGTGTCTTTCCCAATTGTGTCTGCTAAGCAAATAGCAATAACAATAACAACGTAACCAGTGTGAGTAATGTTAACTTTTCAGAATAATTCAGGCCCAGGAAACAAAAACAAAAGGCTGTGTGCATATTTCTGCCACAAGGCTGCAGTGTTTGAGTGCTACTGAAGGAAGAATAGATCTGAACTGTGGAAGATAGCAATTTTGCTTACCTCTAAAATTTCCCGTTTCCACCCATCTTTGTCCTGCAGAATTTCTAGTGCCTTTTTTAAGGCCTCCTTCCCTTGGTTTACATAGACCAGCTCTTCTTCCCTCAGAGTCATGGGTGTGCTTATAGTTCCTTCATTTTCTGGTTTTCCTGGAAATCAAGTCCACAAATTGGTTGTTAAAAGCGTCGATTTGTCTCCCAAATGAACAATTGTCTTGAAAAGCACAGTATGCAGGACAGTTTTAAAACTTATGTTGTGAGGATGAGCTATATTGAAGGCCACATGCAGGAGATTACCTGAGCCCAATAGGTTTTGTACCTGTACTAGTACCGCCTTTTCAGAATTAACTCTCAGACAATCATGAGTTCAGAGCTCTCAATAAAAAAGTACTTGAACTTACCAGTGTGAGAGTTAGCTTTTATCCACTGTACATGACTTGCCCAATTTGGTAAAGTGATTTGACTCCCACGTTGCATCAAATTGATTTCTTGTCCAATAGCGGCCACAGCTCTTTGTTGCAATCCTAAACGAACAAAAAAAGTAAATGGCAAGAACCTACAAAAAGTAGGTTGCATACTACTTACCACAAAAAAAGTATTATGTAACATGTAATTTATATGTTTGAGACATGTTTTAAATAGAAGAATAAATGCAAAATGTTCTTTTTATGTATTGTGAATGGAGTGGTGATGTTAAGTTATGCTGATATCTTTTCACATACAGACACGTGAGCTGCCCATGAGCTTTGATTCAGTATAATGCAAGGTTCTGTTACGTCTTTTCAATATGGAACAAAAGTCCAGTGTAAGAAAAAAAAATCAAGAAAATGTCATCTTTTTCAATCATGTTTGTCTACCTGTCATGCTCCTGAAATGTTGGTATGAGATTCCACAGCAGAGTTTAACGATTGCTGGCAGCATGCTGATTAACTCAGAGGTGTTCACTTCCAAATATCAGGCCACAAATTTATAGAAGTTCTGAAGGACAGGCAGAGGAGATAAGGAGCAGGTTGTTAGATAGGATTTGACTGAACTCTGCCTTCAAGGTCACATTCATTGGAAGAGAAAAGAGGAGTGAGAGAGTGCAGAGATGAATGAAACAGTCGTTCTTAGACAAAAAAGATTGTATTTTAAATCCCAAACAAATTGAACTAGCGCACCCTAGAGCTTACAGAGTTGTCCATGATATAAGGGTTGGATGATCAGGGGAATATGTGATTATTTTGTAAATCTGCTGAAAATATTTTCCATTTCCTGTGCAGGGCTGCATAAAACTGCAGGCAATTGGTCTGCCTTTTATAATAAGTCACCTAGAGTAAATTCATTTCTTTTGACAGAATCAGTCCATTTTTATGTATGTTTGTGTACTTGACTATTACTCTAGATAGCCTGTGCTTAAGTCACAAGTAGAGACTTTACATTCTTGGCACTTACATCACTGAGACTAAGAAATAGTTTTAATAGACAAGAGGTGGCTTTACATTTTGCACATAGCTAAAAAAGGGCCTTCAGAAATGGATTAATTTGCACACTGCAAACAGTAATGAAGACATACCAGAGAATATAACCCATTTTTACAGCCATAACCTTCAGAGATGAACTACATTCCTATGGAATAACTTAATTCAAATAATAAGAAAGTCTTTAAAAACAGCAAAAAAGACAAATGCTGTAACAATGTAATGTTAAATGCTGTAATGAATGGATATACCAAGTAACTCCTCTAAGTAATTTTTTATGAATGCCAAGAACAAACCAGCTTTAGTTTCTGAAGGACAATGGGGCAATAATGAAGCCATCACACAAAGACACAGACAAAATTTTACAGGGGTTTAAATAGGGCCACCAGAGCCCAGAAATAGCTGGTCTGACGTTAGCCAGCTGTGACCAACATTCCCAAGCACACAGTTCTCTCAATTGTCTTGACTTGAGCCCAAGAAACCCTTAGCTTGTCACTCAATATGTGCCCCAAACTCAATGAGCAAACACCCCCTTATTTATCAAGTGACATTACAGCCACATTGCCTTTCAACTTATCTGGGTGACACAGTGTGTTCTGAAATCATATGAAACTCCAAAAGATGTGTCTATTATTAAAGAAATGTAATACTGTTAGCCTCATTCCTCCTTTATTTTAATTTCAATCCAAACAGATATTGATTAAATACATAATGTGTGGGGAAACCGCACAAAGGTTATAAAGCTACAAGATAAAAATGATTTTTTTAATAACTGAATTATGTATGATTTAAAGCAGAATAAATATTGGTTTTGAATATTTGCAATGCTCTTACAGGTAAGGTGATAAAGTCAGAATGTAACAAGCATAAAAGCTCATTTTTGGTATTGGTGTTATTGAGGCCAGCTTTACATGAGGTCTTGCTTTATACCAGGTTTAATGTTTAGATCTAGCCAATTAACATGGGGCATTACATTGGCACTTCAGCCAAGCCATTGAAGGTGACCCCTTTGGAGAGTGCCTCACGTGACTGCTAAGATACACAGCTTAGCACGGAGTCACCTAGCTTCATTCTCCCTCTCAGGCTAAGGTGAAAAGCTATGCATTTTAAATTGTAAGAGGCAATTTCCAATAGACAGCGGCACATTGTGGTTTTGGGTAATTGGATTATGGGTGATCAACAAAATACACTGGGCCACTAGGTGCTCACACTAATCCGGTAAGCAGAATGTCATGAAATAAGCTCTGAAGTGGTTTTGTTGACATGTACTGTACAATGGGTTTCAAAAGGGTTTCCAGCCTGAAGCATTGAATTGCTCAATGTGTCAAATATGTTCACAATTTCATTGCTTTGTAAGGTTTATGTTGTTCAATGGAGATAAATGCATCATGTCAATAATCCTACTGTTAAAGCTAAAATTACTTTCCTGATTTGCTTCATTACTATTACAAAACTAGTCTGGTGGACAGAACTTTATTATCCAATTGCCATGAGCAGGTAAATATACTTAACTATTGCATTTAATACAACTCAATAGCAGTAGAGTATCAGGTTAATAATAGTACTCTATAAAGAAGGTCCATATTATGCATTACAACTAGAATGCTCTTCTAGGCAATTATTGGGCTCACAGTTCAACAAAGAGCCTCTGCAAAATTTAAAGCTCGATATTACCAGATCCCTCTTGATACACCAAAAATACTGTAAAACATACCCTGCATTCAAAGTAGCACAATGACTTTACTGTTTCATAACAGTGATTTGGATGTCGTTGTGCACACAAACCTTTTTTTCAGTAATCTTGTCAAACCCTAATTAAGGTGGAAATGAGGTGTGATTTGAATAGTGAGCTTTAATGGGGTAATGAGGAAGAAGCCAGCAAAAAGGGGGCAGAGGGAGGGATGCAAAAATGAAACACACAGGAGAATCGGCAAGATGTGTGATATTTACACACAGGTGGGCAGAAGGAGCAGGATTAGTGTTTGACCTCCTCTCTAACATTTGTTTTAAACTCCATTAATAGTTATGAACATCAAACCTAATTTCAGCCGTGTTTAATGTGCTTTACTGTACCTCAGGCTAGAGCGAATCTGAGCAATCTTATTTCAGACTGGATGTTGCTGTAAGTCTAAGTCCCATCAGAATCCCAAGGCAATAAGGAATTGGTAACGCATTATATTACAGTACAGTTCATATTTCATCATTATATACATAATTAATAGAGGGTTAATAAATGATTTATCAGTGCATTCATAAGGAAAAAATAGAGGTCATTGAAGTGTAGAAATAACATTTTTAAATCTTCTTAAGTACCTTTTAAAATAACATTTTACAGGATAAAATACTATGCATGAGTTAGGGTGTAGGAGCTAGGGTACGAGGTTTGGATTTGAGTAAGGATGAAGGCTAGCTTAGAGTCCGAATGCTCGTGAATGACAAAATAGATGAGGCTGCTATGCTACTCTTTGAGTTGGATCCTATTTATTTTTTACAATTTGCGCTATGCAGTAATGTGAATTATTTAGTATATTAAAAATTTTCCCCAACTGTGCACTTATAGACCACAACAGGTTATTGTGATCACAGACTATCTTGTTCCTCTGGACTGTTCTGAGCCACTTTAAGCGTAACAAATTGTAATCGTAAGAGAGGATGCTCTTTTGAGCCAGAACTCGAAAGAACGCACAGGTGGTTGGACCTACAGGGACAGAGTAATAGGACATGGAACAGTCATCAGAAACTACTGCACGAATAGGAAACACAAAGGAAAAATAAAGGACTTTGCTTTTTAGATAGAATTTACAAATAGCTTTCAGCCATGAAACAATTATTACTGAAATGTGTTAACTGCAGTCCAGTGGTCTTTTTCCAGCCCAGCTGTCTGTGGCTTGCAGGAGCCCATGCTATCCTCCCCTCAGAGACAATCACTGTGTGTGAGATTAATGCAGTTTTACATTCCTCAGCATCAATACCTCAAGTTATGGAAATCACTCCTTACAAAAATGGCAGTGGTAGTGATGTATAACTTGATCATTGTCTCTGTGTGTGAGCATACTGTATATTCAAACTATGCAAATTTTTTGTTTGTTTAGATAACGGTGCACTAGAAACATCTGAGGAAAGATAAGAAGTGGTCTGGGTCTAGAAACAGAGGACTCGGTAATCAAACCTGAGCTCTTATCTGGCCCAGACAATTTTGAAAGGTTACACTCAATTATGTGTTTGGAAGTGCAGCCAGAACATTGTGTTATGAAGAAAGAAGACTGGTAGCTACAGAGCAGGGCATTTGCTGTATGTTAAAGATAGCTGCTACCAAACAGAGACCTACAGTAGATGTGGAGCGTGTCTCTTGCTGGAAGTTCTCTGCAGGTTATTTTACCATCCAGACCCTTTAAAAAAATCTAAGAGGAAAAAAACAAGTGTGAAATGGTATATTTTCCTTAGGATGAGCACACGATCTACAACTGCCAACACCTAGAAAATATATGATGAGCACCTGAGTAACACACTCACACTGTCTGTATGGACAGGCCTAGAAACTAATGACTCCATACCACTATGCTATACCACTCATCGAATGGCTGTGGTCGAGATGCCGATGAGCATGCTCAATTGCAAATGCGCAGTGAAATCACGGTTAAATCAACCTGAGGAAATCTATAGTACATCTTGATGCCGGCCAAGGGAAATCATGGACATTCAAAGCACAATACACACATAGTAAATTAATATGGTAAAATTACAAAATATGCAAATATACATACAGTATTATATGTACAGTATACTATCTACAATATTAGGTAATGCTTTGTTTAAAAAATGCCTTGTTTTGCACCGAAACATCTCATTATAATCGCATAGCAGCCTGGCAAGTGCTAGGCTGTGTCTCAGATCATACCCCTTGTGACTCCTGGGTCCTGTCATGTTGTAGAAATGGCTCTGAAAAGAAGGACTTTAGTGGGAGGCGTCAGCTGTGCACAGTCAGCAAAGACAGCACTCTGACAGCCTGTGGCAGTATAGCTTGCGAAATTTGCCAGAGCTGATAATGATGTTTTCTTCATTCCATAATTGGATGTTGCAGTTGTCATACAGAGCTTTGAAAACAGTGTAACAATATGCCCCTTGGTGTCAACACCAATTTAATTTTGTTTAATTGGCCATCTTGTCTCCCATGTACTGACAAACACAACCTGTTTAGTTTTTATCCATGAACTATTATACTGTTTCCACTAATTGCTCAAATGGCCTTACATCTGTACACATTACGTACAGAATGACTTTGAACATCTCTATGGGAAAAAGAAAAGGACATCACCAAGATTGAGCAAACTAAGATAAAAAGACAACAAGCTACTCAACAAAACATACCGTATGGCTGACAGCTCCACATAAGAATGGCTCATCACATCAGAAGGAAAACAAATGCACTTTTATGAGGGAAGAAAGTTCCTGTCAATGACCATACTGTTATATGTTAAGATAAACAGAAGGAAAATAGTGCTCTTTAGATACAACAAAAAGTAAAAAGTCAACAGCAGTTTGCAGTTGAAATCTAAAGCATGTTCGGTCTATGAGTAAAGTTTTTTTCACTCCTCTTGGGCAAAGCACAGGAAGAGAACAAGGGAGAAGAATGGAATACTCTGGGTGGCCAGTTTTGTCCTAAACAACATCTCTGCTGTCTGAAGCGGCTTGCTTGAGAAGCATTAAGTAAACCGTGTTACCGAGACAAGTGAAAGTACTGCGATTGAAGGAATTGCTTTCAATATGAGCTGTGATTCTGTAATATTACCTCAGATGTCTATTCTACAGTGAATAATGGATAGGGCATACAATACGTTTAAACACAATGCTTCATTACATACAGTATGAGTTATATATATAATACAGTACATATATAATACATACATATTACACATAACATAGGGCGGAGCGGTGGCTCTATGGCTAAGGATATGTGCCCCTGACTGGAAGGTTGCTGGTTCAAATCCCTGATAGTCTGGTTTAAATCCTGTGGCTGGCAGAGGAATCCTACTCTGTTGGGCCCCTGAGCAAGGCCCTTAACCCTAACTGCTCCAGGGGTGCCATACAATGGCAGACCCTGCGCTCTGACCCCAAGCTTCTCCCTGTCTGTGTCTCCATGGAGAAAAGCTGGGGTATGTGAAAAGACAAATTCCTGATGCAAGAAATTGTATAGGACTAATAAAGAAACATTATTATATAGTATATACAGAATATATGTATTTGTTGGATACCAGCGTGCAACTATTTACCTTTATTACAAATAGCAAACCATTATATCAAATACATTTCTGGCATGAATTAAATTCTGATCATGTGCAGGCTTCTCAAGGTATAGTCTGATAGTTCTCAAGGCATATTATAACAGATGCAGTTCTACAGTAGGTTTTAAATCAATGTAAGGGCAGTGTAGCTATATATAATTTAATGGAAATGGGAAAACTCTCATATGGCTTGGAGGTATGGCAATTAGTATCGCTGCCTCACAGTTCTGAGTGGCATTTGCTTGTGCTTCCTGTTTCTGTGTGAACATTCTCTAGATGCTTTGGTTTTATCCCTGTGCATCTGTGTGTGTAGCCTGTCTGGGGTGTAGACCTACAATTAGCCATGTGCTTCTGGGATAGGCAACTGCTTGAGATACCCCTAGGCAGGAATGAGCAGATTGAACAGCACAAATGAGCAACTCCTGTTGCTTTTTTCCAAACAAGTTTTAATATAATGACTATTTAAAATCTGGACATTTGTTTAAAATCACATCAAAGCAAAATTGTCTCAACCTCCTGTAATGTAAATTAGAAATTTCAACCTAGTGTTTTATGCTGGACACGTATGTCACACTTAAATTTGTTTCTGCATTTGCTCAGAGTAAACTACTTTGAAGCATTTATGGTTTGAAAGAATATCAAAGAATCTAAGAAGCACTGTGAAATCAACAAGATGTGCTGAGCCTCTCAGAGGATAAATAAATAAAACGTCTTTATTTATTCTTGCTTGATCCTGAGAGCATTTAACTTCCAAAACTGCTTCATAATGCTGAATGGTGTACAGTACTTGCAAGATTCTGATAAATGTTTATACATGATAGAAAATGAACAATTTATCTATAATATATGAAGCACTTGCACACTTGCATATGAAGTGCTGGGCTGCTGTTGTGGGAAGTTTTTGGGTGCTGTTTTTGAAAATATACTTCTGTTTGATTTGTAGCCCAATACCAAGATGTGTTGATGTTTATGGTTTTGATTTTTGATTAAATTTTTTTTCATTGCCCAGGTCAAAACTTATTTGCAAAATATTGATATCATCTTTAACATGTCATATGTTACTTCTCTTTCTTTGATTTAGATTCTTTGAGCTAATTTTCTTAGAGAATGAACCACAGTCTTTGGTTATTCAACCTCCCCTGATCTCCTCTCACTTGAGGACTTGTAATGATGTGGACTTATTCAGCAGTAATCCTTTTGTTCTTGCTTTGGCTTGGAGGTGTGGAATCACAATGTCAGTCCTCAAGCAGCTTTTTACACACCTCGGAATTTCTCTGATGCAGCGAAGTCTCTTCTCCAGGAAGGGTGAATTTTCTTCCCTTCTGCATCATGATTTTTTTCCCACTGGGAAACCTCTCATGTATCACAATAGACTCCCTAAAGAAAAGATGGGGCAGAAGTAACAGAATTTAAAACCTTACAACCATGTCATGATATGTTGTTTTGGCCCATATGATCATTAATAAAAAGCAACATGCATGTGGGGACACAGAGATTGCACAGTATTTATTCCACCTGTAATGGAAAGAATCCTTCTTCAGTTGCAGGCAGTGAGAGATTGGAAGCTGCGAGAGGCTCACAGTGTTGACAACGGTGATCGGGGCATGGCTTTCTGAGTTGGTTTGGATCCCAGCTTGCCTGAAAGAGGTATCGATTTCTGTCCAGGCATAGACAACCAAGACTCCTCTGTATGAAACAGTCAAACAAATTGAATTCAGAAAGGTAATTCAGTTGAACACATGAAGGTGTCATGCTTTTTGTTTTAACTTACGTACCTTTTATTTTTATCTTTTATTAAAGGTGCACACCCCAGTGCACCCAAAATGAAAAGTTTCCAGATACCCAGAGAGGACATGAGGCAGAGAGTTTTTCATTAACAAGGTTTTATAAATATATCAGGACCCAAAAGTCTGTTTTTTAAATCCATTTACAGAGGAATCAGAAAAATTTCAGTCCACTTTTCAATGTCTGCATAATTTTCACATACCATGCTGCACCACTGTAACGTTTTGTGTTTGGGTTTGAACAGATGAAATGAGACATGACAATTTCTATGAAATGGATTCCTATTTTTACTCATTCTCTGACCAGTAAAGATATACAGTATCTGTGCTGTATGCTGTACAGTAACATACTGGCCTTTTTCTTTGGGCTGTGTAATTGCACAGTGCACAATAGTAATAAAAGACTGCTGTTGATCTCTCAATAGCTCTCTTCTCTTGTCATTAAAATCAAAAGAATTTTAAGGTCAAATTCAAAACACACAGTAATTTTTTGTGTTATTATTAATGGAATCTGTCTTGTAATAAAGAGCAGATTTAGTGGTTCTTGATCTTACCTGCTTCTGATAGTGCTCTTTGACTGCTGACTCAACAAGCTGATCTCAATGCTACCTGTGACATCGAGATTGAGTCCTCCTTGAATGTGGATGAGGGCTTGTAAACCAGACTGAAGTGACAGAGCCTGAAAAAGCCTTGAGTTAATACATTTAAGGGAAATTTGCTTTTTTGTGTTAAGTAAAATGTGATGAGGCAAAATGAGTAATTAATAAAAATTCCTTGCACGCCTGTAGTGCCTTTCGTACACCAAGATCCCAAAGCACTAAAATAATAGTAAATTGCATTTGTATTATAATTTACATTCAGGAGTGGACCCACTTCATGCACCATTGTAAAGTGCAGCCCCTACCTGGGTGACCTATACTGTACTGGAGCAGCCATTCTGCACCAGCAGCTCCACCGCTCAGCTGAGCAAGTAGAGGATTGACAAAATGATTCAGCAGACCAGGGTAGAGTTCATCTAGAACACCAGAGTTAAAACCTCTACTCTTACAAACAGAAGATCGGAGGTTTTAGAAACCAACGAGAGAACATCTCAGTTTGAAGTCTTGTGTAAAGAATATCAGCTCCTACAACACAGTACACAGTACCCCCAGGGTACTGTGGGGGGTTTGTGTGGAAGTTCTGATCTGAAGGGAAGGGAGTCTCCTACTGGTCCACAATGAACACTATGTTGTGTTTGTTTCTGATGCATGTTTTCCTGGACAAATACTTTATATAAAGACAAATCACCAGGTCATTTGTTTAATCCAAATCCCCTTTCCACCTTTGCTTTGAAGTATTACCTAATATTCTGACTCTGATAAAACATTTCTACTGTATATTGACTGACTTTTATACCTTTATGAACATTTTTTATTGTTTTTATACTTTTATACATTATTTTTGAAGAAAAAAAAACAGTTCAGGGTGTAAACGTTTATTTTACCTGCAGATGGTCAATTATCAGAATATTTCCTCTCAGTATATTTTCAGGCTCCCCTGTGGCGGACCAATATTTCTCCATTAAATCGGAATATCCCTTGAAAATCATCACCGGGCGGAGCTGCACGTCGAGGACTATGGCCGACATTTCAGCTTCAATTTCCTCCTCCTCCTCTGCGCCTTCGTTTCCAAACAAAGAATCCAGACCTTTCGCCTCCATGGATACCTGCAAGCAAACTGGAGAGCTCTATTGCTGTTGTGATAAACCTTCACACTTACTGTCACCAGAAAGCTTCGCTCCTTTCAAAATATGAATTGCCCTTTAGAGAGAAGATGGTGAGGGAATCTCAGGCCTCCAAGAGGTTATTTTTAAATAGTTCCGCATCTTGAGATGAGCCAGGAAAAATGACTGATAGCTGTCATATGTCAAGGAAAGAGCTTTGTCATGATCGATTTGAAACCAGCAGTTGCACTGTGTGTGTCTGGCAGGATCAATAGGTTGCAATTGTGCTAACACTTAAACAGAGTTGAGCTGCAGCACAGGACAGACATTAAAGAATTAATATACAATAGCACCACAATTTGAAGGTTAAAAATAGTGATTCATTATGACTTTAGTCCAGGGGCTTACTAAATTGTAAGTCATAGATAAATGTTAAGGGCACCTGCCCTTCATAACAATAATGTCAAAATGTTATGATTTACTCTTCTACACAGCTTCTATGTGAATTGCTAAGCTTCTTTGTTAATTAGGCTGATTGGTGTCTTGACATGAGAAATTACCTGTACAGAATGCATTGTACTTCCATTAATGTGGGTATAGAAATTAGTGTTACTTTGTCTTAAAAATCCATAGTCAGAAAAGAGGAAGTCAAAAGTGTAAGAGGACATCACATCCTTGTTTGCTAAACAAAGAAACAGAGAAAACAAATCATTGTTAGGGAGGTTTGAATTATATATGTCTTATAATATATGAAGTGCTTCTATACACATTTGATTTAAAATTTACTGATGAAAATAATGACAAAAAACCTGGCGCAGGTCAGCGATATATATTTGCTATGACTCATTTTTACAGGATGTTTAAGACGTCCCAGCTGAAAGGCACTGACCACACATTGTACCAGCACTCCCTTTTGAGGAAGGTTCTGGTGTAGTTAGTGAACACTACTGATCTGTGGATGTGCCACGGGAGTTTTTCAAAACAGGGAAAGGGTAATGGCACAGGACATTTTCCACAGGAAGGCAAGCCTGAGGTGAAGGAGCACTCCTGCACACACGGGTGTGTATGTGCAACCCAGAAAAGTGTGACTGTTTACAGTCAGTGGCTCGAGCTTTTATGTCTCTCACTCAGATGTTATGCTTGGAAAAGCGCTGAAGGAAATGTTGCATAAACTCAGCTGCATTTAAGATTTCTGATGGTGCATTAAAAAATGATTTTTGGAAGTATGTGTCTTTTTGCGAAGGAAAAGGAAACAAAAAAGGCTGTAAGTACTTAGCATAATTCATCATCGCAGTTCATCCTATTTTATTATTATTCTTACCGGCCATGTAACCAGAATACACTGTGGAACTCCCACTTCTGGAAAGATGATTGTAGTTATTTAGCTTTAGATCCTTCAAGATGTCATGAATAATTTTCCTTGGAAGAAGTCAAAAACTGCATTAAATTAAACTGGTTAAAGAATCCATCTGCTACACTAGCTTTAAGGGCACAGAAAACAAGGTTTTATAATGCCTTTCTCAATTAGCATTCAAATGTGCCTTAGAATGCATTTGCTTTCACAGAGGTAAATACCAATACTTTTCCATAGACCTTCACTGGCTTAATACAGTTTATCATCAGAATGACGGACAGCAAAGCAAGTTTGCACAGTAAAATAAACATGACATTTGTAAATGTTTCAGACATTTGTGTCTGACAAAAAACATGAAATAAAAAGTGTTGCTTTGATATGATTTGGATCAAGAAAGGTACCAAGAGCTTAAACTTTGTAAAGAAATGTGCCATGCAAAGGACTAACTAGATAGCCCAGCACACGCTCTGCCCAGCTTCATTTGGCTGCAGAAGCTGCAGCAGCCTTGTGTGGCCATCTTTATTTTATGTGGCTGATGCTTTGTATTGTCTGGTTTGACATTTAGCCTAGGGGAGCGACTGAGGCCAAGACAGAGGGCAGAAATTGGCTCACCTTGCTGCATGATCAGAATATCGAATGCTTTCAATTTTTGATGCCAAATATCTGGATACTTCTGGCCCTTCCTTTCCAATAGCCTCTATGATATTTCTTATGTCCATATGCAAAGGCTCATTGTTTAGCAGGACTTCCGCAGCAGCTAGTCGAACAGTTTCAGTGAAGTGCCGATTCCTGTGATTAAAAATTTGTCTCATGCGATCCTTAACCTGAGAAAGACATACAGTTCTTACAGTTATTCATGACATACAGAGAGAGAAAGGACTGTAAACAAATGCTCTTTGGAAATGTAACGCATTCAGACGTTAAAACTCTTTTGCACCATCTGTATTTTCCAGTGAGTTACGGAAAACAAACTGCAGAAAACCCTAAATACAGTTCTCCCTGCTTGCACCACAATCTATTGGTACTGAAAAGTTATGCTTATTATTTTTCCTTTTCATTTCCTACAGCATGACTCTTGCATTCTATATTCCTACAGATCTGCTCATTACCTTGCTGTCAATATGCTCCACTGGAAGCCTCTGCAATGCTGACAGAGCAATAGAGGAGACAGCGCCTGACATCTCTGTGTACTGAAGTAGGATGGGAATTGTTTCTGGAAGCCGTGCACTTTTCAGGGCTAAAAGATATGGCATCATCTCAGAATCTTCAGTAGAGGATTTCAGTCCGTCCAGAATCAAGTTCTTTGCAAACAGTACTTCCTAGTGAAATGTGGTTAATAAAACAGAATAACAATAATCAAAATGTTAAAACCTGGATCTTAGTCCTCTGCTTACTAACACATTTCTATGTCAGCCTTAGTTCTATGATATATTTATGGTGAGGGACAGGAGGCAAGGAGAGAATTAAAAACCAAATGGAATTCAAACGTGGAACATCATGGACAGCCTAGGTAAAGTCTAATCAACTTCTGGGGTCCAATCTGCTTTGTTCCACATCAAACCAACTCCTTAATTGCAATATTAATCATGCTGGTTCTCTGTTACGTGATTATGGAGCTGGTTGCAAAATTCTGGAATGGAGCAGACTAGAAGGGCTGCAAGTTGAATAGTCTGTATTAATATAGTTCTATTTGCATAACATAAAATATTTAAGAGCATCCATAGATGTATTTATAACAATAACAATGAAAATGTCAACCTAAATCAAAGAACTACTCCTCACCTTTGAAACAAAAAAGAACAGTATTTGATATAGTTTTTTATAATTATCCCCGGATTTGGTCATTTTTGAAATCACACAATATGTCAAATATTTAAACATACATTTATATATATAAGTAATTCTGATCTATCCAAAACACTTAAAAGTTACAAATATCCATAAAGTAATTAAAATCGTTTTATCTTTATACTGGTATAATGGCCTTACATCAGGCTACAAAAACAGCAACCCTGAAGCTTAATACATTCCAGGCATATCACAGCAAATAGAAGGATTCCTATGGTCATCAAATGCTGAAACAGTGACTTTGCTGGCAAGGTCTGTCCCTCTTGTGGGTTGCAAGTGTGGCACTAAAGCAAAGCAATTTAAAAAATAAAGATAAGAAGGGGTCACTTATCATCAGAAAGATAAGGCTTACCTCAGAATACTTCTGTTATTTGTGCACAGCATTGCGACGTACAGTGTGCCTAGAAAGGGCTTTATTGGGCTCAAGTGTGCTATGACAGAGGTTCTGTATAGTTTTAAAGTTGATGTGTTAATGCCAACATGTGCTGATAATTTACAGCATCCCTGCTATTCCTCATCTCCTGCCTGACTGATTTATCCTTGTAATGTTGCCAAAAGAAGGGCGATATTCTAGTCTAAATGTGTAAATGGTTTAATGTCCTCGCCTTACCTGTGATTCACACATCTTGGCAGAGCACATCTTCCCAATCACAGACCCCAGGGTAATAATGGCAGTCTCTTGGACGTCTTTTTGAGGAATTTTGCTAGAAAGAATTCGCTGTGGCATCCAGGGGAAAAAAAGAAGCATTAAAAACATAATTGTACTTTATTTACAGAAATCCTAAATGAAATATTTTCACTATACAAATGTTTTAAGCAAAAATACAGCAGATGAGCCCTTTAGAATCTGGGTCATTCAAACTAAATGAACAGTTATTTTGAAGTGTTAGTTGATAATATAAATATAATAACCATGTGTCTATAAATACTCATTTTTGCATTTAAACATAACCATAATGATAACCTTTGCCCTATTTTAGTGGTAAATTAGAAGTGGTAATTGCAATCCTAACCTTAACTCAACACAAAATTTTGAAAACCTTTTCAGCTGCATGTTACAAAAAAAGAAAATTGGGTAAAATTCAAACAGCAGATAATGGAGTTCTAACAAACATTCAGCCAAGCAGGTTAAGTTAAGTTTCACAATAAACAATTCAACTTTCACACAAACTTCTGCTGCACTCATTCCATAAATAATTCTGGATTATTTACAGTACATTTCCGACTCAGAACTCAAGATTTTGGATCATTGTATTCCTATTTTATATTGAATTTTGAATGAAAGAAGAGATCAAGACAATGGGTGTGCATTCAATAATCTGACAATGAACTCAGGCAATGCAAAATATTAAAAAGTGCACTGAAAGTTTTCTGGAATATAGTGTATACTGTATATACTGTATACTGTATAATCTATAAAGTGGTTTGGAGTCTATAGAGTGACACAGAGTCATGTATAGACTGGAAACAAATTGGAAAATCTTTAACAAAAAGATTTTAGTTAAAGCTCAAGTAGCAATATGGCACCTCTCATACGTGATGTGCTGGCACTCACAGTGAGCATGTTTAGCAACCCCTTTGATGGCCGAGGAGAAAAAGCACAAGCGTGCAAAAATCTCTGCAGCAGAACCCCCTGGTATCTGTTGGTGAAATCCAAGAATGAGGAAAGGGCCTCCAAGGATTCTGGGGTCAAGGCTGCTGTAGCTGCATCTATGAGAAAAGAACTGGAGCACAAGAAAAAATACATTCAGCAGGGCTTCAAAAATACTGAGCACAAGAAAGTTAGCAAATGAGAGGTGGCCAATTAGCCCATCTAGCTAGTGTGGTTACTGGTAGCTAATTGAGCCATGATCTCATCCATCCACTTCTTGAAAGAAACCAGGGTATTGGATGTGACCACTTGTTACAAGAGCTGGTTTCTAGACGTCAGTTGCAAAGAGATTCTTGCAGCATAAAGAGAACAGGTAGCTTAGTTGATTATCAACACAAGTGCTAAGCCTGATGATAGTTCTTTCATACTGGTTTACATCAATACCAAGTGAGATTCTGGTTACCAAACATACTTCTCACAGCACACTGCATTTCTTTTCACTGCCACAGGAATGTGATGTCTCAGTTGATTAATTGTCTTGTTTCGGAATGGAAATCATAGCTACTTATATGATCAGATGATTAAAAGCCACCATGAATCTGATAATGAAAAATGACAATTCAAAGGATCTTTATGGGGTTTAGTCATGAAAAACAGATGAGTAGCATTCTCATGTAAGATGTTTGGATTGGAAATAAAAAATCATCATTCTTTGCATAACTATCGAGATGACAGGCAAGCTGATGGAGTCCATGCCAGCAGATGTGAAACAGAGTCCAATTCTGGTCCTTGAGAGTTGGTGCATCTGCAGGTTTTCATTCCATCACAGTTCTTAACAAGTTAAATGTAACTAGACTGATTTGCCAGTCCAATTTCACCCAGCCAGGCTGTTTCAAAGAGACTGAGAAAACCTGCAGACACAGAAGACTAGGATTGTACAACCCCGATGTAAAATAAAAACATTTGGTCTCAAAGCCAAATTCAGCTTGTTCAAACTCCTACAAGGCCGATTAACTAGGTTTTTTCCATTTTTTCCCCCTTGCACATTAGTCACACGTAACGTTCAGAAACACGACTTCAGAAATGAACCCGATATATTTATTAACCCTGATGGAAAAACTTCACGGCTGGTGGCTATCACAGATGATTGCCTTGCCAAAGCATACATATTTTATGACACCCTAGGAATAAATAAAAAGCTAATTTTGTGTCACATCCTGAGTGATTTATCTCATCACACCACAGCCTTTCTTATGAATATGACATGTATTGTGAAACTGGACAACACTGGTGCTGTTTTAAACTTACATTACAGTATGGTCAGCGGTTCTGAGCAATTGGAAAATGTTTTCTTTCTTCATTTGTCGTAGCAATCTAACCACTTTGAGAAATTTTTTGGTTGTTAATATTTTAGATACATCCACCTCTTTTGTTTTTAAAGTTGCCAGCTGTTCAGTAACCTGTGTGAAATCAGAATTATGTTAATCAGAGCATTACAGCAATTACAGTAATTTTTAAGAAATCAAACTTGCTGACTTGGAACCAATAAACAGCACATAAAAGCATCAATGTTAGAATAAATTAATTCTGGTTAGAACATATTACCACAAACATGGACATTTGCAAAAACAGTTTTGTGTTTTGTGATTTTTCACATTACTGTAGTCAACTTCAACAGCTCATTTTATGATGACATTTAAATGCAATAAACATGAATTTACAGATTTAACATTTTCAGAACTAAACATTGCGTGGGTAGCACGACAGGAGTCAGGGATCAATCGAAGAAAACATGCGAGGGAGTGATATTGAACACTTAAATGCTCTGCCACACACAATAAGGCTGACCACACATTTTCAGTTCAGAAATGTTAAATATGTACAGTTTCTTCATTGAATGGGCAGTGAAACATCAAATTTTCAAAGAATCGAGTCAGGGTTAGGAAGAAAAATAGTACAGATGTATCCTTTCTTCTCAGCAAATTACTCTTTATCTTAATTAAACAATCACTATTATGTCCACATTCTGAATAAATCTCACTCAGCCATCAAACCTTTCTTATCGGAGAATAATTTATTATCTAGTACAATATAGTTATACTTGGATGTAGGTATAATTTGAAAGAAATAATTGCTCTCTCTTATTTCTCTTAGTCATGCTGTATGCATGAATACTGTACCTTGAATGAAGTGTAAAGAATGCAACACTTTAGCCTTCGATTAACTGTTTTTTTTTTCAGAAAATGTCCTTCATAAAGGACAGCGCTTAAAATAAATAATTTAGTTTGTATGGATTACGTATGAGCTAACATTTGCCTTATGTCTTTCAACGTCTAGAATGTAGCATCTTATTTGTCAATTGCTTTTTTTAAAATTGGTACATTTTTTATTTAAAACATTGAATCAACTTTAGACTTCCCCAGCACTGTGTGATTCTTGTGTTTAGACTATTTCATGCGATGGATTTCCAAAATACAGTGGGCTGCTTCATATATCTCATGAGGAGGCCATAGATATGCCAAACACAGAGCCCAGCAGGGCAATTGAAAGTCTGCTGCAAATCAGAGGACAGCAGACAGGGCCTGAATGGGAAATACATGTGCACTCAAAGATAATGAGAATAGGTTATGATATCTGGAGCTTTCAAAAAGGTTAAAATTCAGAATAATCTCATTCACTCTGTTACTTACATATAAAAATAGGTGAGAAAGAAAACTATACTGATGCAAAGAGGTGTCTATGTAATAAAAAGGTCTAATGACTAATGAGTAAAGTCCTAATGACTCCACACAATCATCAGGTCTTGTCATTGACACCTAGCCAAGAGGAGAGGATGGGCAAACAAAACCACTAAAGACAAAGATGCTGAAGTCCATTAAGGTGTCTCTAGGGAATGTTCCCGGAAGATGACTAGAGAGGTGTGATCAAATTGAAGCTGTTTTCCAGCTGGTCTGGTGTTCTAACAAAAGATAAAAAGCTCTCAAACACAAAAACATTTCCCCCTACAGTTAATATTGCAGACTCAAGGCCTCTTTTGTAACGATACAGACACTATCTAAAAAACCTCATTGTGGGATATTTTCTTTTTTTTTGTCTTACCAAATGGCAGCTGGTGCAAGTTTTTTTTTCAACGGGATCAGCGTGAATAGTTATTGGGATATAAAGTTCTTCGAAAGCTTTCAATACCTCCTGAAGGCCTGGCTGCGTAAACTCGGATTCTCCTGGATTTGTTGATAAGAGCAGCAGCCGCTGCCTTAGGGTGACAATACAGAAAATTCCAGTGTTACGAAATGAAAACCATTTTTGCTAAATGTAGTATCACTATAAGAATTGTTTTATCACAGTTAGGTACAATAATAGGAAAAAATAAGAATTCCTTTAATCCCAAATCACCTTGCGTAGAGGAGAAGACTAATGAAGAGCAACTGTTGTTGTCACAGTGCTGTGGGTTCTGTTTTATTATGAATGAAGAAATATACTGTACATGAAAGCAACAGTGTAGAACAAGAAGGACCTGTAACTTTTAATAAAATGTTCTATTGCAAATTTTGCATGTTCTGTTGTCAGTGAAATGCAAGCTTCACGGAACACAGTAGGACGATCTAGAATGGGCAGTCACATAGCAGAAAGCCAATCAAACTGGAGTTTCATTCTAGGGGCACACAGGACATGCTTAATAAAAATGTAAGTCTTTGGGAGGACAGTGTTTGTCCTAGCTGGAGTTTATTAGTAATTTGATTAGATGTTTTCAGGAAACTCAAAGCATAATACAATAGTACAGTGTAATGTTTCTACTTTTCATGTATATACTGTACAGTAATACAAATAAGTTGTTTTGCATTACTAATATTCCGGTTCAGAGAAGTTAATGGTGCACAGCTTCCTCTAGAAGTTCCATAATTCCACACAGATCCTCTGGGTCTAAAAACAAACACCCTGGTTATTAGAAGGACAGGAAGTCACATTCCCTTTGAGAGAGTCGTCCTTATCTTGTGAATATTTGAATCTACAGCGTTGTTGCTGAACCTCAGTAACTCAGCCAACTAAAGAGCAGTTTGACTTAAAAACTCCATGTAGAATTTTTTTCACAAGAATATTCATGTCCATTACAAAAATTTCATAAACTCCCATTTTCCCATGAATGCAAAAGCAAGCTTCACAACATAAGGAATCATTGTTTGAAATATACACATCTTTCTTGTATCTCTAGAAGTGTAGCAACTTTTGAAAGCAAGTCAAGATGTACGCCAGGAGGTACATGTCTTTTGGGGAACAAAATGACAAGGAGTGATACTCTTACCTAGAGTTAATTTTTGTACCAACTGTAGACTGCAAATTCAGTCTAATCTCATGGCTTTCCTCACATTCCATTGCTTGGATCAGGTGGCTTTCCAACGAATAGACACACTTACTAGAACCTCTCATGCTCGTGCCGAACACCTTAAAAGACAAGAAACAGATCATGCTTTCCATGGTGATATACAGCTCTGTAAATTAAACACAACGTGTTACTTGCTCTTCATGTAATCTTAAAGCAGATGAATAATGAATTTTGTAGAGTGGTTCTTCTGCTGCATGAGGAGAGTCACCTCCTTCACCGACAGCACAAAAAGCCTGCAAGTGCTTGGAAGGCCACAGGGGGCTCTGTGTCACTGACACCTGAGAAAGCCCTGTCTGACTAATGGAGCTCAACTTCTACTCCAAAAAGTACCTTTACTGGACCAGCCACTCAGGAGGACCAGTAATTAGCTAAAACAATTGGAGATGAGAAGGGATGATAGTTTTAATTTCATCAGGTTGACACTTAAACCAGGGTGAGGTGCTGAGGACTGTGGGTATCCTAAGGGATTCATCACATCCTCATGAACTACATAGGAAAACAAAGCACAGAGAACAATAGAGTTGCAAAAACGTGTTTCTATGGTCATACTGTATGTCCCTGTATGATCACGGTATTGCATTTGTTGTGCTGATCGACCAGCTGCGTTTCTACAGTAGGTACAGTATAGCCTTGCCCACACACCCTACAGAAATTTAATCTTGAGAAAATGTGAATTAGTTACATACTGTAGGCTACAAATGTGTGAAAAAATGAAAGTTTTTTTAAAAAACAACTACAGACAGGAACATCTCACTTTAAATCAAACCAATATCAATTTTCAGTGATCTATTTTTAATACCCCAAAAAAGCCCTAATGTTTAATGGTTGTTCCGTTGTTTATCTTCTCGTTGCCCAGCTGTTGCTATGGTAATATGAGGTTGGATTAATGACAGGAGTTAACTCTTTAGGGGAATTCTGAATTACTAACTTCAGCCCTAGAAAACCTTGGCAAAATTAAAAGCTCAAGAATTGTCATTTCTCACTTTAGTACGATGATTTGGGGGTGATTCACTGCAGAATGTTGGAGATATTATAAGCAGCCTACAGTATAATCTACCTGTTTACCGTTAAAACATTTTCTTTCTCCAAAAGCCTTTTTCAAGTTTCAACTTCAAATGAAAGTCCTAATAGTAAATCTTTTTGATTGACAATCATACAGTATATATGTAAATAGATAATCAGAAAAGATTTAAGCTTTGCAGTTGGAAACTGTTAAAAGCTTCTTAGTGCATCGATTGAAGGGCTGTTTTAGTCCTTCAGAATACTGTAGTGACCCTGCAACAACTGTTGTTTGTCACACTCTTTGTGTGCATGTGAGTATGGGTGTGCGCATGCACATGTGACTTTTTGGTGTGTGTGTAGTAGTGTGTGCTGTAGTTTCTTGTGAGCCATTAAAAAGAGAGAAACTGTTAAACTTCACCTCTGTGCTATGCCTCCTTGTTTATGCTGCAAAGAAAAAGGCTGGCATGAAAGCAAAAAAGACTGTGTTCTTATTTCTTATACAGCTCTTTTATGAAAGAAGTTGTACACAGAAGGACATCGTGCAGCATGCCTTACTTGAACCACATTATTCAGTAGCATTTCTAATTCATAGAAGCTCCCCCAGACTCCGGGGAATGTTGGAATACATGCTTTTTGCCATCACATGGATCCCTACAAGCTTTTTCAGTGTTCTTTTGAAATTGCACTATAGATGGATGGCTGTGGAAAGCCTTTGTTGAATTGACCTCTGGTGAGGTCTTTCAGAAACTTTCATATTCAATATTCACTTACCTGTTATCTTTGTCATCCCAAATCAAGGGACCATATGTCTTTGGATTTTTATTTGGTTACTGTAAATAAGTATTCTTAATCAATGTATTGGTTATTTGTATTGTTTTATTACCAGTTATCGATCCACACTATTTTTCTTTGTGTGTTTGTTTGACCATTTAGTGTCAGGTTACTAACTTACCTCTGGTTTAAATGGAGGCTCACCTGCCTATCAAGAGGAGCCATGGGGCAGAGTTTACAGTATTTAACCAGGCAATCATGGGGTG